CAAAGAGCTTATCCACTATGATCAAGTAGGCTTCATCCCGGGGATGCAAGGCTGGTTTAACATACGCAAGTCTATAAACGTAATTCACCACATAAACAGAACCAAAGACAAAAACAACATGATTATCTCAATTGATGCACAGAAGGCCTTTGACAAAATTCAACAGCACTTTATACTAAAAACCCTCAATAAACTAGGCATTGATGGAACGTATCTCAAAATAATAAAAGCTTTTTACAACAAACCAACAGCCAATATCATACTGAATGGGCAAAAACTGGAAGCATTCCCTTTGAAATCTGGCACTAGACAAGGATGCCCTCTCTCACCACTCCTATTCAATATAGTACAGGAAGTTCTAGCCAGAGCAATCAGGCAAGAAAAAGAAATAAAGGGTATTCAACTCGGAAAGGAGGTAGTCAAATTGTCTTTATTTGCAGACAACATGATTGTATATCTAGAAGACCCCATCGTCTCAGCCCAAAATCTCCTGAAACTGATAAGCAACTTCAGCAAAGTCTCAGGATACAAAATCAATGTGCAAAAATCACAAGCATTCCTATACACCAATAACACTTAAAGAGAGCCAAATCAAGAACGAACCGCCATTCACAATTGCCACAAGGGGAATAAAATACCTAGGAAAACAACTAACAAGGAACATAAAGGACCTCTTCAAGGAGAACTACAAACCACTGCTCAACAAAATAAGAGAGGACACAAACAAACAGAGAAACATTTCATGTTCATGGTTAGGAAGAATCAGTATCGTGAAAATGGCCATACTGCCCAAAGTAATTTACAGATTCAACGCTATCCCCATCAAGCTACCAATGACCTTCTTCACAGAACTGGAAAAAAACCACCTTAAACTTCATATGGAACCAAAAGAGAGCCCACATAGCCAAGTCAATTCTAAGCAAAAAGAACAAAGTGGGAGGCATCACACTACCGGACTTCAAACTATACTACAAGGCTACAGTAATCCAAACAGCATGGTATTGGTACCAAAACAGAGATATAGATCAATGGAACAGAACAGAGGCCTCAGAGGCAACACAACACAACTGCAACCATCTGATCTTTGACAAACAAGACAAAAACAAGCAATGGGGAAAGGATTCCCTGTTTAATAAATGGTGTTGGGAAAACTGGCTAGCCAGGTGCAGAAAGCAGAAACTGGACCCCTTCCTGACACCTTACACTAAAATTAACTCCAGATGGATTAAAGACTTAAACATAAGACCTAACACCATAAAAACCCTAGAAGAAAATCTAGGCAAAACCATTCAGGACATAGGCATAGGCAAGGACTTCATGACCAAAACACCAAAAGCACTGGCAACAAAAGCCAAAATAGACAAATGGGACCTAATCAAACTCCACAGCTTCTGCACGGCAAAAGAAATGGTTATTAGAGTGAATTGGCAACCAACAGAATGGGAATAAATTTTTGCAGTTTACCCATCTGACAAAGGGCTGATATCCAGAATTTACAAAGAACTAAAACAGATTTACAAGAAAAAAACAAACAAGCCAATTCAAAAGTGGGCGAAGGATATGTACAGATACTTTACAAAAGAAGACATACATGAGGCCAACAAATATATGAAAAAATGCTCATCATCACTGGTCATCAGAGAAATGCAAATCAAAACTATATTGAGATACCATCTCATGCCCGCCCGTTAGAATGGCGATCATTAAAAAATCCGGAGACAACACATGCTGGAGAGGATGTGGAGAAATAGGAACACTTTTACACTGTTGGTGGGAGTGTAAATTAGTTCAACCATTGTGGAAGACAGTGTGGCGATCCCTCAAGGACCTAGAAATAGAAATTCCATTTGACCCAGCAATCCCATTACTGGGTATATATCCAAAGGATTATAAATCGTTCTATTCTAAGGACACGTGCACACGAATGTTCATTGCAGCACTGTTTACAATAGCAAAGACCTGGAACCAACCCAAATGCCCATTGATGATAGACTGGACGGGGAAAATGTGGCACATATACACCATGGAATTATGCAGCCATCAAAAACGATGAGTTCATGTCCTTTGTAGGGATATGGATCAACCTGGAAACCATCATTCTCAGCAAACTGACACAAGAGCAGAAAATCAAACACCGCATGCTCTCACTCATAGCCGGGTGTTGAACAATGAGAACGCATGGACACAGGGTGGGGAGCACTACGCACTTTGGTCTGTTGGGAGGAAACAGGTAAGGGACAGCAGGGGTGGGGAGTTGGGGAGAGATAGCATGGGGAGAAATGCCAGATATAGGTCATGGGGAAGAAGGCAGCAAATCACACTGCCACGTGTGTACCTATGCAACAATCTTGCATGTTCTTCACATGTACCCCCAAAACTAAAATGCAATTAAAAAAAATTTCCTTCTAGGCCAGGGGTTAGTAGCTAAATGCCTTAAATCTTAGTTCTCTCTTCTCTTCCTTACTAATAATGTCTTCTGTGGCATTTTTCCCCAAATAGGACACTTGCATCAACATTAAAAACCTGTTCAGAAAAATAACCTTTCTCCTCAATGATTTTCTTAGTGAAATCTGGGAATCTGACTTTACTGCTACTTTTTGACTGTCAAAAGCTGCTTCTCTTGTTATCTTGTCATTTTTAATGCCAAGTCTCTTTCTAAACTTTTCAAACCAACCTTTACTGCCATTAAATTCTCTAGCTCTAGATCCTTTGCTTTCCTTTTAAGCTGTCATATAATGACTTGCTATTCCTCACATCACATGGCTACTACAGGTATATCTTCCTTACAGAAATCCTGCACCGACGTAGAAGCTGCAAAAGGTATTTAGCAAAAAGTATAAGCTTTTGTGCCTGCTGGTATAGTCATAGCAATGGCTTCAGAATAGCTTTTTCTGTTCTTTTCTGTATTTCACAACGGTATGTTAAGTCATTCTTTGTGAAATGGCATCATCACCTGCAGCTGAAAGACCTCTATCTATGCTTCGTGTCAAACAATACAACTATTTTTTGTAACGTTAAGACTTTTCTCTGCTTCTTGGGAGTATTTCCAGCAGCACTAATGGCACTTCATACGGGTCCCATAGTGTAATATTAAAGATTCATTATATTGCACTAAACACAATGAAAGCCACATGAGAACTACAAGAGATCGCTTTTACTGCAATAATCAACCTAATGGAGGGACAAACTGCTCATAAGAGTATGTCACATGGCCGGGCGCGGTGGCTCACACCTGTAATCCCAGCACTTTGGGAGGCCAAGGCGGGTGGATCACGAGGTCAAGAGATCGAGACCATCCTGGTCAACATGGTGAAACCCCATCTCTACTAAAAATACAAAAAATTAGCTGGGCATGGTGGCGCATGCCTGTAATCCCAGCTACTCAGGAGGCTGAGGCAGGAGAATTGCTTGAACCTAGGAGGCGGAGGTTGCGGTGAGCCGAGATCACGCCATTGCACTCCAGCCTGGGTAACATGAGTGAAACTCTGTCTCAAAAAAAAAAAAAAAGAGTATGTCACATGATATTTTAAGTGGATACTCACAACCCTTGAGATCACAATAGCAACAGGTTGCTATGAAATACGGTATGTACTATTGTTAATTTTATGCAGTTATAATTTAATGTGGTTTACATTTCTTCCAACTGTGAATACTGCCAAGTATTTGTGTTTTAATAATTTTTAACTTTTTAATGGATTTTTTTATATTTCGATAAAAACAGACTAGTATCTACATGTATTTTACACATAATGACATACCTTTTTCCATTTTTGTGTGACTTCTTCAATTTCTTTCATCATGTTTGAGAATATCCCTTGGTTAAATTTATTATTCTTATGTATTTTATTTTTATGTGACTATTGTAAATAGAATTCCTTTCTTGGTTCCTGTATTATCTAGTCTGTTATTGGTGTACAGAAATGATACTTTTGTACACAAACTTTGTATCCTCCAACTTTACTGAATTTATCAGTTTTATGAGTTTTTGGTGAACTTTTTTCTACATATGGTCACATAACCTGAAAAGGGAGACAACTGACATTCCTTTTACAATATGGATGCCTTTTGTTTCTTTATTTTTTTTTTCTTAGAGACAGGGTCTTGAGGGCAGCGGCGTGATTGTGGCTCACTGCAGCCTGGACCTCCTGGGTTCAATTGATCCTCCTGCCTCAGCTTCCTGAATACCTACCTAGAACTATAGGCACACACCACCACATCTGGCTAATTTCTATATTTCTTTTATTTTTTATTTTTTTTAAGATGGGGTTTCACCATGATGGCCAGGCTGGTCTTGGAACTCCTGACCTCAGGTGATCCACCCACCTCGTCCTCCCAAAGTGCTAGGATTATAGGCGTGAGCCACGCGCCCGGCCGATATTTCTTATAGAGAAAGAGGTCTCCCCACATTGCCCAGGCTGGTCTTCTACTACTGAGCTCAAGTGATCCACCTACCCTGGCCTCTCAAAGTGCTGGGATTATAGGTGTGAGCCATGGAGCTTGGCCACTTTTTATTTCTATGTTCTCATTGCTCTGGCTATAACTTCCAGTAGTATGTGGAATAGGGGTGGTAGGTAAAAGTGGGCATCCTTGTCTTGAACCAGTTCTTAAAGCAAAGTCTTTCAGCTTTTCCCAATCAATATGATGTTAGCTGTGGGTTTGTTGTGTATGTCCTTCATTATACTGAAGTATGTCCCTTCTATACCTAATTTGCAAAGCGTGTTGAATTTTATCAAACACCTTATTTGTGTCTTTTGAGAATCTGGCATTTTTTGTCCTTTATTCTGTTGATGTGATGCACCATGATGATTGATTTGCATATGCCAAAACATCCTTCCATCCCTGGGACAAATCCCACATTATATTGCTGGATTATCTTTTTGATGCATTGTTGGATTCACTTTGCTTGTATTAAGGATTTTTTGTGTCCATGTTCAAGAACACTGGCCTGCCATTTTCTCATTTTGTTGTGCCCTTGTCTGGTTTTAATACTGGAATAATTTGGGTCCAATAGAATGAGTAAGAAAGAATTTCTCTCTTCCTTCATTTTTTGAAATAGTTTCAGAAGAACTGATGTTAATTCTCCTTTATAAATTTGATAGAATTCAGCAGTAAAGCCATTCGGTCCTGCATTTTTCTTTGACAGAAGACTTTATTACTAGATTCACCGTAATTACTATTTTTTGCTCTGTTCATGTTTTCTATTTCTTCTATGTTCAATGTTGGTAGGTTGTACATGGCTAGGGATTTATCCATTTTCTTTAGGTTTTCCAGTGTGTTTGTGTATAGTTCTTCACAAGTCTCTGATGATCCTTTGTACTTTGTTGGTTTCAGTTGTTATGTCTCCTTTTTCATTTCTGATTTTATTAGGGGCTTCTTTTTTCGTGGTTGGTCTTTTAGCTGTTTATCTATTGAAAAAAAACAACTTTTCCTTTTGTTGATTCTTTGTATTCTGTTTTTAGTTTCTATTTCATTTAGTTGCATGATAATCTTTATTAGTTCTTTCATTCTACCAATTGTGGCTTTGCTTCATTATTGCTTTTCCAGTTCCTTGAAGTATATAACCAGGCTCTTCATTTGAAATATTTCTAATTGTTTGATTTAGGAATTCATTGCTATAAACACTTTCCTCTTAGCATTGCTTTTGCTGTATCATGTAGGTTTTGGTATGTTTTATTTCCATTTTCATTTATTTCAAAAACTTAGGAAATACCTTTCTAATACTTCACTGACCTTATGGTAGTTAGGGATCATTTTGTTTAGTTTCCATGTAAATAAAAAGTTTCTCTTGTTATTGAGTTTTATTCCACTGTGTTCTCAGAAGATGCATGAAATAATTTCCATTTTTAAAAATTTGTTGAGACTTGTTTTGTGGTCTAATATGTAGTGTTTCTAAAGAATGTTCCATATGCTGATGTGGAAAATGTGTATTCTGCAGCAATTTGATACAGTGTTCTGTATATGTCTGTTAGGTCCATTTGGTGTACAGTACAGTTCAAATCCAAAGTATTCTGTTAATTTCTGTCTAGATGATCTGTCCAATGCTGACAGTGGGTGTATTAGTCTGTTTTTATGCTGCCATGAAGAAATACCCCTGACTGGGTAATTTATAAAGAAGAGGTTTAAACAACTCAGTTCCACATGGCTAAGGAGGCCTCAGGAAACTTACAATGAAGGCAGAAGGCACCTATTTACAAGGCAGCAGGAGTGCCAGCAGGGGAAATGCCAGATGCTTATAAAACCATCCCATCAGGTCTTGTAAGAACTCACTCTCTATCACGAGAACAACATGGAGTTAACCACCCCCATGATTCAATTACCCCCCCCCCCCAGGTCCCTCACATAACACACAGGGATCATGGGAACTATAAATCAAGATGAGATTTGGGTGGGGACAGTCAAACCATATTAGCAGGATACTGAATTCCCCAACCATTATTGTATTAGAGTATATCTACCCCTTGAGGGCTAATATTAGCTTTGTTTATTTGTGAGTACTCTGGTATTGGGTGTATAAATATTTTGAATTGTAATATCCTCTTGCAGAATTGATACCTTACTATTATCTATTTACATTGTCTTTTCTATTTTTTACATAATGTCTGTTTTATCTGATGTAAGAATAGCTATTTCTACTTGCTTTTGCTTTCTGGTTATGTAGCATATCTTTTTCTATCCCTTCACTTTCAGTCTGTTGTGTCTGTTTTATCTGAGATAAGAATAGCTTTTGCTTTTGGGTTATGTAGCATACCTTTTTTTATCCCTTCACTTTCAGTCTATGTGTCTAGAAAGGTAATTATTGCTCTTGTTAAGAAGATAATTCCATGGACTAGCACAAGGATAGTTTCAGTCTGTCATTTCTTAAAATGACATATAGTTGTGTCATTTAAAAAAATCCATTCAGCCAGGTTTTATCTTTTAAGTGGAACATTTAATCCATTTAGGTTCAAGGTTAACACTGATAAGTGACATTCTGTTCCTGAAATTTATTATCTAGCTGTTTTGTAAATTGTTTTTCCTTTGTGGTTTCATGGAGTTTTGTCATGGTGCCATTTGATGCCTTTCTCTTCTTCCTTTGTGTAATTGTTTTATGAAGCCTGTGAATTTTATACTTTCATGTGTTTTTATAATGGTGAATATCAATCTTCTATTTCCATATTTAGGACTCCTTTGAGCATTTCCTGTAGTTATTAGTCCAGTGGTGAAGAATTTTCTCAGTGTTTGCTTGTCTGAGAAAGATCTGATTTCTCCTTCACTAATGAAGTTTATTCTAGCTGGATGAAAAATTTTCTCCTTTGAGCACTCTGAAAATAGCATCCCATTCTCTTCTGGCTTGCAAGGCTTCTGCTGAGAAGGTCTGCTGTTTGTCTGATGGAGCTTCCTTTATAGATGACTAGGTGCTTTTCTCTTGTTGATTTTAGATTTTTTTTCCTTCACATTGACTTTAAGTAATCTGATGACTATAGGTCATGGTGAAGTCCTTTTGCAATGTATTTGCCTGTTAATCTTTGTGCCTCTTGTATCTGAATGACTTGATGTCTTGCTAGACTAGGGAAGTTTTTTTCATCAATTATTTCCTTAAATAAGTTTTCTAAACTTGCTTTTTTCTTCTTCCTCTGGAACACCAATGATTCAAAGCTTAGTTGCTTTATCTTGGAAGCTTTGTTTGTTCTTTTAAAGCCTTTCTTTTCTGTATTTCTGTGTGACCAGATTCATCCAAAACACTTGTTATTGAGATTTTTTTCTTCTGCCTGATCTAGATCAGTGGCCCCCGATCTTTTAGGCACTCAGGACTGATTTTGTGGAAAACAATTTTTCCACAGACTGGCGGGTAGGGGATGGTTTCAGGATGATTCAAGTGTATTACATTTATTGTGCACTTTATTTCTATTACTATTAAATTGTAATATATAGTATTATATAACTTACCATAATGTAGAATCAGTGAAAGCCCTGAACTTGTTGTCCTGCAAATAGATGGCAGACAGTGAAAGATCATTAGGCGCATTAGATTCTCATGAGGAGCATGCAACCTAGATGCCTTGCATGCACAGTTCACAACAGGCTTTGAACTCCTATGAGAATCTAATGCCACTGCTGATCTGAGAGGAGGTAGAGGTCAGGCAGTAAAGCTAGCAATGGGGAGCTACTGTAAATACAGATGAAGCTTCAATCACTCACCTGATGCCCAGCTCCTGCTGTGTGTTCTGGTTCCTAACAGATCATGGACCAGTACCCCTGTTCTAGATCACTGTTGGAAATTCCTGGTCTAAATCATTGTTAAAGCTTTCAAATGCATTTTGTAATTCCTTCAATGAATATTTCATTTCCAGGAGTTGTTTTTAAAATTAAAAATTTGTATTATTTGACATTTTGAGGACTTCTTTTAAGGACCTATTGTTGGAGAATTACTGTGTTCTTTTGGGGGTGTCCTATTATCTTTCTTTTTCATACTTCCTATAGTATTATGTTGATTTCTTCACATCTGCAGAAATAGTTGCTTGTCCTTATTATTATTATTATTTATTTATTTATTTTTAAGACGGAGTTTTGCTCGTTACCCAGGCTGGAGTGCAATGGCATGATCTCGGCTCACCGCAACCTCCGCCTCCGGGGTTCAGGCAATTCTCCTGCCTCAGCCTCCTGAGTAGCTGGGATTACAGGCACGCGCCACCATGCCCAGCTAATTTTTTGTATTTTTAGTAGAGACGGGGTTTCACCATGTTGACCAGGATGGTCTCGATCTCTTGACCTCGTGATCCACCCGCCTCGGCCTCCCAAAGTGCTGGGATTACAGGCGTGAGCCACCGTGCCCGGCTGCTTGTCCTTATTTTTGAATTTACTTTAGTTGGAGTGGGACTTTTTTTAATCCTGAGGATGTTACTATCATATAATTTGATAGGACTGTTTGACTTTGCTTCTGGGTATGTTCATTAGCAAATACTCTATGATTTCCTTGGATATAAACAGACTGAGTGTGGTGGCTTTCTCAAATGCTGTTTATAGTAATGGTGTATTGGGTAGGTGAGCTGGCTGATAGCCTCTTGAGTAGCTGGGGTGGCATAAGCAATGGTGGTAATAGAAGTCACGAGAGGCTTTTGTTATCAAGTGCTTTGCACTTGTGTAACCGGATGTTGTAATGGGCTATATGGGTCAAATTCCATGCTAGCAGGTGATAGTTGCAGGTCAGAGCTTTTTGGGGTTGTAACAACAGGGTTTAAGACTTATCTCTGTTAACCAGGAGTACTTAAGTGCCCCAGGCAATGGGTTGGGCCAGGGAAAACTCAGTGGTTTGGGTCTTGCACCCAGCCTTGGGGGAGAGGAGAGGAGTGGTGAAGAGATGAAGCTGGGTAGAGCTGTACTGGGCAAGATAGTCATTTGGTCCATCAATGGCAGGCACAAGCATTGGCTCTGACAGGGATCTAAGGACAGCTGCCAGACTCTGTAGAAATGCCTAGACAAAAGATGAGAGCAACTGATGTTGCACCAATGTCCCAACACAGGACAGCAAGGGCAAACCCACTGTTAAAACCAGGCAAACAGTATGGGACCTGCCTCTCTCACTCTCCAGAACCATCAGGACTCATTTCCTTATCCCAACCACAGGAATCAGACAGACCATACAGTCTGCCTTCAGCCCACAGAGCTTACACAGTAAAACTTGCTACTGAGGCCAAAACCACATCTCTCAAGCAAATCTCCTGCTCCAGTCCCATGATTAGGGGTGCAGGGGTCCAATCCTAGTGCCCAAGCTGGGGGCCCAAGCTGTACTCATTTCTCATTTCTGGCTGTGTAGGCCCCTTTCCTACCAAACACCCAGTGCTCCAATCCTGGCATGAGACTTTATAATGCTAACAGATGCTGCTGCTATGTCACAGGATCCCACAGAGTTTTCTATGAGCTAGGATTGAGAATGGAGTCCTCTTATCAGCCACCAAGTCTGGGAAAATGCATGGGACTCATCCCAGGTGTTCCTTTTCCATGTCTGTCAGCCACTCCCTAAGTAAGATTGAGGGCTTGGGAGGCTCAAGTTGCTCTCCTGTGGTCTGGATTGCACAATTCTCCAATGGGAAGATGGATTGCAGAGGAACGCTCACTCTCTATCTCCTGTATTCAAGATTTTCTCCATTTTAGCATCCAGACTCTGACAGGAGGGCTCTCTCCCAATTTTCTCTTTCCCAGTGTCTGAAGTTTTGTTTAATGCCTGTGTTCCTTCTTGGATAAAAGTTAACGGTGTGACTATCTACACACGATTTTGTTCTTTCCAAGGGGGTTAGCCATGCTGGAAAAGCCTCTAATCTGCTATCTTTGGGGGGGGGAAAACCTGCACAAATTTTAAGATTGTGTTTTATATTTCTGTGAATGATATCACTGGCATTTTGATAGGGACTACATTCAATCTGCAGGTCACTTCTGATAGTATTGTCCTTTTCACAATATTAATTTTTCCTATCTAAGAACGTGGGATGTCTATTTTCGTTCCCTCTTCAATTTCTGTCAGCAGTGTTTTACAGTTTTCCTTGCAGAGATTTTTCACCTCCTTGATTAAACTTATTCGTATGTATTTGATTTTTTTTTGGTGACTATTGTAAATAAAACGGATTTCTTGATTTCTTTTTCAGTGATTTGTGTATACACATGCAACTGATTTCTGTATGTTAATTTTGTATTCTGCAACTTTACTTATTAGTCCTAAAACGACTTGCAGTAATATGTTAAATAAAAGTGGTGAAAGTGGGCATCCTTGTATTTTTCCACATCTTAGTAGAAATGTTTTCAGCTTTTCTACATTCAGTATGATATTGGTTCTGGTAAGTCATATATGGCCTTCATGGTGCTGAAGTATGTTCCTTGTATACATAACTTGTTAAGAGTTTATATCATGAAGCCACTTATCAAATGCTTTTTCTGCATCTATTGGCATTACCACATGGTTTTGTTCTTCATTCTGTTGATGTGATGCATCACATTTATGGATTTGCATATGTTCAACCATCCTTGCATCCCTAGGATAAATCCCACTTGCTCATCATGAATGCCCTTTTCAATGTGCTGCTGGATTCAGTTTGTTAGAATTTTGTTGGAGATTTAAAAATTTATGTTCATCAAGGATTCTTGTCTATATTTTTCTTTATTTTGTTGTGTCTTCATATGGTATTGCTATTAGGGTAATGCTGGCCTTGTGGATTGAATTCAGAAGAGTTCCCTTCTCTTCAATTTTCTGAAAAAGTATGAGAAGAATTGGTATAGCTCTTCTTTAAATGTCTGGCAGAATTCTGCAGTGAAAAATCAGGTGCCATACTTTTCTTTAAAGGGAGACTAAATTATAGATTCACTTTCATTACTAATTTGGTTTGTTTCATCAGGTTTTCTATTTCCTCTTCATTCTATATTGGTACATGTGTGGGAAAATTTACTAGTGGTTTGTCAATTTTATTTTTTCAAATCTTTTTATTTAATTGATCATTTGTATTTTTTTTTAAAGTCTTACTTTATTTCTTTTGGAGACAGGGTCTCGTTCTGTTGTCCAGGCTGGAGTACAGTGACGTGATCTTGGCTCACTGCAACCTCTGCCTCAACTGATTCTTCCATCTCAGCCTCCTGAATAGCTGGGATTACAGGCACACACCAACACTCCTGGCTAATGCTTGTATTTTTATTTGTAAAGATGGGGTTTTGCCATGTTGCCCAGGTTGGTCTCAAACTCCAGACTCAAGCAATCTGCCTGCCTTGGCCTCCCAAAGTGCTGGGATTACAGGCATGAGGCACCATGCCTGGCCTTTTAGTCTTGATTTCGCTTACTTCTGATCTGAACTTCATTATTTTTCTGCTTTTTCTGATTTGGGGTTTACTTTGTTTTTGCTTTTATAGTTTCTTGAGATGCATCATTAGATTGTTTATTTCAAATCTATTGTTTTGATGTAGATGTTAACTGCTGTAAACTTCCCTCTTGATACTGCTTTTGCTGTATTCTGTAGGTTTTGGTAAGCTCTTTTCATTTTTTTGAAGAAATTTTAAAGTTTCTTTCCTAATTTGTTCACTGACCCATTGGTTGTTTAGGAGCATGTTTGTAAATTTTAATGTATTTGTATAGTTCCAAAAGTTTCTATTGTTAGTAATTATTAGCTTTATTCTATTTGTGGTCAGAAAAGATCTTTCATATGATTTTAATTGTAAAAAAGTTTTTAAAACTAAGAAACACCATCTCACTATATTGTCCAGGCTGGTCTTGGACTTATGAGATCCTTTCTGCCTCACCTTCCCAGGTAGCTGGGACTATATACATGCAAGCAAAACGGTGCATAGCTGATTTCAAATCCTTTAATTTTGTTAAGACTTGTTTTGTGGCTTAACATGTGGCCAATCTTAAAGAATGCTCTACTGGCGATGAAAACAGTGTGTATTTTATACCTGCTGGATGAAATATATTGTAAATGTATTACTTCCATTTGGTCTAAGTGCAGTTTAAATCCAATGTTTCTTTACTTTCTGTCTAGATGGTCTGTCTAATGATGAGTGGGGTGTTGAATTCCCCAACTTATTATTGTATTAGAGTTTATCTCTCTCTCTAGAACTAATATTTTATGTACATATTTATGTTTTATTATATATCTGAGTGCTCCAGTGTTGGGTGTATATATATTTACAATGATTATATCCCCCTGCTGAACTGATCTCTATCATTATCTTATGATCTTTGAATTTTGATTTTTCAATATTTTATTTAATGTCTGTTTTATCTCTTTTTTTTCTGAGATGAGTCTCGCTTTGTCGCTCAGGCTGGAGTGCAGTGGTGTGATCTCAGCTCACTGCAGGCCTGCACCTCCCAGGTTCAAGCGGTTCTCTGCCTCAGCCTCTCGAGTAGCTGGGATTACAGGTGTGCACCACCACGCCTGGCTGATTTTTGTATTTTTAGTAGAGACAGCGTTTTGCCATGTTGGCCAGGATGGTCTCAAACTCCTGACCTCAAGTGATCTGCCTGCCTTGGCCTCCCAAAGTGCTGGGATTACAAGTTTGAGCCACTGTACCCTGCCTGTTTTATCAGATACAAGTACAGCCACTCCTGCTCAGTTTTGATTTTCCTTTGCATGGAATATTTTTTTGTATTCCTTCATTTTTAGCCTGTATGTACCTTTAGAAGTGAAGTGAGTTGGGTGGGCCCAGTGGCTAATGCCTGTAATCCCAGCACTTTGGGAGGCCGAGACTGGCAGATCACCTGAGGTCATGAGTTCGAGACCAGCCTGGCCAAAATAGTGAAACCCTGTCTCTACTAAAAATACAAAAATTAGCCAGGTGTAGTAGTGGGTGCCTATAATCTCAGACCCTTGGGAGGCTGAGGCAGGAGAATTGCTTGAACCCGGGGGGCAGAGGTTGCAGTGAGCCAAGATCGCAACACTGCACTCCAGCCTAGGCAACAGGGTGAGAATCTGTCTTTAAAAAAAAAAAAAAAAAAAAAAAAAAAAAAAAAAAAGTGAAGCGAATTTCTTGTAAGTAGCATATTGATTG